TGACCATCATCCCCGTGAACGCCTAATGCTCCTCGGTGCCATCCAGGCAATCTGAAGGTTGGGTATGGTTGCGCAACAAATCCTAAACCTAAAGTAATCTCTCCGCGATATCTATTTGATATTTTGACCTCAAAGTATATTGTCTTGCCGATTTCGGTTCTTAATGGTGAATGCGCATATACCGAGTACAGCGGAAGTGTAGAAATAATGCATGAATCCTTGCTGTTGGACTTTGTCTTTCCCGCCCAAACACCCTGTCGTAGACGCGAAAGATCACCATTGTAAGATCTTGGTTTAATAACACCGATGTTTGCAGCATCAAGTGCTTCTAGAGCTGCTTGTGGGAACTCTACAGGCGGTGCCAAGGGATTCTGTTCACACCATGCTTTCCCTTGTAGTGCTTCTTCTTCGGTAGCGTTGTTTGCATCGCTTCGTTGATAACCCATAGATGGGGGAGGGGGCAGAAGAGATGTGTCGGGAACTGCAGTCTGCCAGTCATGATATGGTGCTTGAGCTTGCGCCGGTGGTGGGCCCGAAGGAGGGGTATATTCGTGCGAAGGTGGGGGACCAGGTGGGGGTGCATATTGATCATTATAAGGTGCATGTTGTTGTGAAGGAGGTGGTCTCGCGGGGGGAGAATAAGATTCATTCTGCGGCATTTTCATTGAACCTTTACTTTGAGGTATCGTGTTGACTGGTCGTGAATTGAGGTTCTCGTTGTCAAATTCCGGTGGTGCTTCGCCCTTCAATTTGCTTCCGAAACACATTTTCAAATGGCTTATGGAGGTTGTTGGAATTGAAGAACCAAATAGTGATTATAAGCATGAAAATTTTGATTCATGATTCAAATCATGGCTGTGTTGGAATGGGCTGTGCAATTAAGTATGAAGTCATACGAATGCCTAGCTGTGCGTCTCCAGCGCGCCTAGTAAGCGCGGCCAAGCCTTCCACAACTTCATCGCCTCGGACAAAAATTATCATGACATTCAAAATGAACCGGTAGATCAATTTTTTCATAGTTGCTGGTTACCATTGTTTAGAAGATCCGCAATTCATTCGGAAGATTCCTCTTTCGTAGGGAATTGGAAATCGGTATGTTCCGAACATTTTTGCGTCAAAGGAGATAGACAACATCCTTTGACCACTCAAATTCATGAGCTCACAAGCTCTGCTACCTTATTTGACAATGTCCTATCTGTGGATTCGATAAACCAATGAAACTGCTGATTCTGGAAGGTCAATTGCTTTATTGCTGGGCAACTTCCGCTGAAAGAGACTTTTCTGTGGACGCAATGCCTTTTACTATCATGCATTTTACTTATATACACAAACTGTCAATCGCATCAGAAAGCTCTGTACTCGTCGAAAAATGAGTCATGTCGTCACATCGCTCTGCTTCGTTCAGAATATCAGTTCATGTTAGTATACATCAACACAATGTGTATAATAGCAAGACTTACGATACGTACTCTAGTATCCGGACTGTGATGATTCGGGATATCCCACGTTCCAACAACTTTTGCACAATCAAGATGCTGCTGTAGACCTTATAGCTAAGAAGGCTGCGTCTTTGCCATGGATTGGCCCACCAAAGGGGGGCTTCGTCATTAATGAGAATGGATATTCTCGTCCCTATACAAATGCCACAATTTTTGCCCAAGCAGATGCATTTGGGAAAGCTACCATTGCTTATGAGGTGCATGGAGATATTCTCAAGAAGTATATCGCCCTGGGCGGGGATCGAAGTAAGCTGGGAAGTCCAGTCACAGACGAGTTATGGACTTCGGACCGTGGTTGCCGTTTCAATAACTTCACTTCAGGTGCTATTTATTGCAATTCTAAGACTGGCACTTGCGTTGTGAAAGATGAGATTTATAAGAAATGGATGACTATGGATGGGGCTGAAGGAGTTATGGGATATCCAATTTCTGACGTGAGTATTAAAGATGCCTTGGCCTGACGCATTTCGACGACAACTTGTAATACTATACACAATCTGTTACTTTTCTTTCACTTTTCGATGCTGAATAGGCACTGATTTTTATATGTGAAGGAAACATTGACCCCCGGTGGAGTGACTCGATTCAATATGTTCTCACACGGTGGAGCTATCTATTACACTGTAACTCGCGGGGCATTCTGGATTTATGGAGATATCTACAAGAAGTGGATGGCTACAGGTGGCGAGTTGGGGGACCTGGGCTATCCTGTATCAGACGAGAAATTGGCGCCCGATGGAGTGTGTCGTTTCAACAAATTCTCTGGCGGTGGCGCGATATTCTCAACCCCAGAAGTAAGCAAGTTTGATACTTTGGCTTTGCACTTCCCAGTTCCGGCTTTCAAACTATAATTAAGTCCTACTTGTTGATTAACGTGATTTAAATCCCTCATCTTTATTATCTGGCTAGCGGTTACTAATCCTAGAACTTCCAGCGTGGTGCGGTTAGGGTAGCTGGGGAAATTTACAAAAGGTGGATAGCTCTTGGCGGAGGAAGCGGGTATTTGGGCTCCCCCATCACCGATGAGATTGCCGGAAAATACGATACTCGCTATAATGATTTCTCTGGCGGTTCGATATGGTGGCATCCCTCTATTGGCACCCGAGAGTTTGCTGGGAAGGAAACAAATTATAACATCAACATTACCGAAATTTTGATCGATGAGCTTCGCTCTGCGCGTGTAGACACTCTTTACATTACAGCTTCCATCGCTACAGTATCTGGAGGGGTGCAATCTATTGCTCTTCCCCTTGGCGAGCACTCAATTGGTTTCGTATATCCCAGCTTAATGTTCCAGAATTGTTCAATTGGCGATGAAGAGACAGTCACATTTACATACCTCGTCGTCCACAACCATTCTAATAAACGAGAGGATGTTCTCAAAAAACTCGAGGTCGCCATACATAAACTTGGAACAGCTGCCATAGAAGAGAATGTGGTTTCTCTGAATTCAATGCGCAAACTATCAATTGGAGACGCTATCGGCACAGCTATAGGCAGAGCGCCTGTGCCTCTGAGTGAGCCAGCTGTTCGCCCATTTGAGGGGTGGGCCGATAGTGGTGGTCTAGGGATGCCATTTCTGAATTGTGACGGCGTTGTTGCTGCGGAGGTCACAACGCTGAAGGGTAGCGATATCAAGGCACATCTAATCGTGGGGAACACATGGAAAGTTAACGATAAGCATGTGGGTACAAAAGCGCTTGATTGGTGTGGCTCAATCTCGCGATACCATGTGTTATGGAATGTGGAATTTTCATGAATTTGCTGGCTGCATAACGTTGATATATCCTGCAAGTTGCCTGGCAGTACATAAATTTTGGTTATCTTAAGGTTTTGATCTGGATCTGTATTTCTTTCGACAAGGTAGCGAAACTATGAGATTTATTTAATGATGAATTGTCAAATCTTCCATGCCCCGGGCTAGCATACCAAACTTCATGCCCTTTAAATGTTCTTCTTTTCTTCATCCTCTAGAATTTTTATCAAAATACGCAATTTCAAGGCTAAAATTAGATGAAGAACAAAATTTCGTTCATGATTTTTTGTGGTGAACCTGGAAACTCAAATTAGATTTCTGAGAGCAACTTCTGCAACACAAGTTCAAAGATAGGTTATACAATATAGCTTCAATTTCTGACGTGGTACCTGCTTCTAAGTTCGTGATCAAATGGAACGTTTTCGGCTGATTATAGATTTCCATTTCTTTAATAACTTATGATGGACAGGCATGATTATCTTCTTCTCCGGGTGCTCAATAGTGCAGATTGAACTTTCCCGATAGTGGGAAGGTCGGTCCATTGCAAATTCGATTGTAGGATGATTTGATATCAATGAAAAGTGCTTTCTTCCCTCATTGAGGAGTTTACTTTGGATGGAAATTCGAAAGTCGGAGCCACTCGTGGCGTTCTGGACCAGAAGCGAGGTGACTAATAACTGGGCTGGTTAAAGTTTTACACTAGAGCCACAAATCGCTAAATTAGGAGAAAACGCTTTTCTGTATCGTCCTAGGCACTTCTAGCTCAAGCCTGGCATATTTGCCAATCAAGTAGAATGAATGATAACCCAGTCCCGTTACCGAAAGCTTGCTACTTATATATTTCTATATTTTCAAGAACCTACGGGGACCCATGTTTCTAGGATTCTCCTCTAGTCGTGGAATATCAAGCCAGGTATGCCAGACAGAAGAAATTGTCTCGTCGGAGAATATTACAATGACTCAACAATATTCAATGATGTAATAGCGATAAAGCCAAGGAGTTGAATAGCAATCTGTCAAAGTTGGAGTTAACCCAAGCGTCGAGCCAATAATATAAGTTTCGCCCTATGTGGCACTTGTAACGGTCTTAACTGCAGTTCAAATTTGAGGCACAAAAATTAAGAATGTGAATGTTTGGATGTAATAATGTTATGCACTGAAATTCTATTCTAAACGGTGATCGTGATATGCTAATTGATTCAATGATTATTCAATTTCATTCAGAGATACAAGTTGGAGCGAGCTGTATATAACATTAGCCGTAACATTCCAATGCAGTACTCTCGATATTAATGAACCCCCAAGCCCCATACCCCACACCCCGCAACGACTACCGAGACTACTCCGTACTATCTGAATCCAGTACCAAGATCTTACTTATGAGCTCGCCCTAGATATATCTTGGTTCATTCTAGCGTCTGTCTAGCACGGCTGCTTGTGAGGAACGGCGTCATACAGCAGAAAAGTTTTCAAAGTCCCTTAACCGTACATACTGCAAGCTGGTCCAAATTCTAATTCTCATTCTAATAAAAGAGTTCATCTTTCCCAAGTTCTCCCTTCTTTTCTTCCTTCTCCAGCTTAACAGTCAATCTTCGAATATCTCCAACATTTACAACATCTACCACCTTCTACCAAACTCATTTATTCGAATTAGTATCTTCTGATTGCATAGATCTTCTAGCTAAAGATCGCACCCGATATCTCTAAGCATTTTAGAACCTTAACTTCTTACATCTACCAGAAAAATGGGTGCCGGTCAACGTCGTCGTCGTGCCGCGGAAACTGCTGCCTCAGCCCTCTCGTCTCCCTCCCCTGCCGAGTCCATGTTTGACTCCTCTACCGCTGGTTTCACTTCTGCCACCTCCTTTTCTGTCACGACACCCTCATCACCCCCGGAGACTCCACCCGTTCTTGTCGATGAACTATCGAAGAACCTTGCGTCCACCTCTATCAATGAGGTAAATGACACGGTACCGGCCAAACCATATGTCTTCATTGCGATTGACCTCGAGGCAAATACGCACGATTATACGTGCTTTGCTAACAACAAGACATACACCCGAGGTACGCCAACCCAAATTGGAATTTCCATTCTCCGAGCCAATGGCAACAATGCGACCCTTTTCGCAAACGATCCCGACTCCTCGGCTGGCACCAATTACCGCCACATTAAGTTCAAGGAGTTTGCGAAGTACAGAACCAGAATCGGAAAGCTAAAGGCAGGCGAAAAGGTCGACTTCCTGTATGGTCGCACTGAGGTTATTCCGCTCGGTGGAGCAAACAGCCTCATTAAGAAGCTCATTGACGATGAGAGCAAGCACGGAAAGGTGGTCTTGGTTGGTCACGCCATCCAGAATGACCAAAAGATCTTGGGTATGGGTGGGATTAATGCTTTTGACGCCCTCTTTCCAGAGGCTTTAGATACTCAGGCTATACACCTTCCACCAGGAAGCAAGCAGGGTAGAAGCCTGATCAATTTGGTCTTGGGCTACAATAGCTCTGCGGAAACAGGCTGGCAGCACAATGCCGGCAACGATGCCGCATGGACACTTTGGGTCATGGCAAAGAAGCTGCCGGACATTCTCACAGTCTCGGAATCTGGGAAGGAGATGGTGCTGGACAATTCGAAGACTCTTAGGTTTGCTCCAAGAGCCCAATTCGACTACGACGACAACATGTATGATTATTGTTAATCATCTGTTTTGTAGCGCGTAGCTTGGCTCGGCGCAAAGGCTTGTCTGTGACTGCACGGAGTCATAGGATAGAGCTTTTGGGGGAGTAATCTTTTTTGGGGAGGGGGGTTGTGGTTTACTGAAGGGAGGCTTATTTCTTTCCATCTTGCTGTATAGTATCTTTTTATTGGTATCCCCAATCTAAATGTACAACATCATAACTTAGCGAGATTATGACATTTGTACCTTTTATATCCATTCGTCAATACATCAATACACACACAAACTACCATATTCATAAGTGAAATTTGTTTCCGTAAAGTTTTAGGTCAAAGAGAGCAACAATACCTAGGTATCAGTTTCGTCGGATTACCGTCTGTTGCCCTTTTGAAATCTTTGAAATCTTTGAATCCGATTCAAGGTCTGACTGAGATTTCAAGATTGAAGAATAACTCATGTAGCACGATGACCGATAAGTTCGAATAATGAAATGGCATTAAAACGCTTGCTATTGTAGGGTGGTGACGATGAATGTGTTCGACTGAATGCAATAAACCACTATCGCATGAGATTGAATATTGATCGTGTTGATATTATTGACCAGGTACTTGTGCTTATTCAACTGATACATGCTAGGTGTTAGCTTATCCTATGCGAGATTGAAAAATCAATCGAAGTCGTCTGATGTCTTCTGCTTGAAGTCTCCAGGCGAGGGCAGTGGGGAGTCAAAGTCTGGGGCGCTTGGATCAACTAACTTTACCCCCATGTTCCTAGGTAGTTTCGGGTATTCTCTAACCTCATCTTCACTAACAACAACGGCCAACGGGACTCCGAAGAGAATTGTTACAAACTTCAACTCTCATGCATTGAGATGATAACACAGAGCTATATACCTATAATGGCGTCACTTGTAATAGGATCCGATAGGAAGACGAGTCTGCGAAAGACCAATGAACTCTCAAGTATTGTTTCCACTTACTTTGTCCAGCTTCACTATGCTACCACCCTGATCCCCCTCCCGCACCATCGCGATCTGAATATTACTGAGCCTAATTGATATGACGAGATGCACTTGGTCAATCATGGAAAGATGAAAGCTCTCCATGTCGACAGGAAGATGTGAGACGCAATCTCAAGGCTCAAGCGACATTAGATAAGATGTACGGAGGTACCTTGACATCAAGAGTATGAAGACATGGCATTACCTACCACTATGGGGCGTGGAGCTAGTGATATTCTGAATCTTCTTCCGCAATCATACTCTGCCGTTAGAATCTTACCAATGATGGAATGCTCGACTTCATAATTCAAGGAAGGAACGGAAATATATATGGGCTCACGTATCGTCATCTCGGTTTCTATGAGTTTGGCGTCACTGAAGATGTCATCGAACTTAAATTTAAGATCAGGCAGGTGGGTCATTGCAGTACAAATTCTTTGTTCTCTGCATTATTTGTTTCAATTTTTGTTTGATCTGATCTTTCATCATGCTCTCTCCACATACTATCATCCAAAGTTCTGTCACTGGAACATTCTTTTAAGACGAGGAACTTAATTTTCACTCAATTGTATCAAGTTGGATAATGTGTTTTACGTTAGCTAGGTACCCAGCACTTGAGTTATCCTAAGTGTAAAAAAATCCCGAGTCCAAATGGACCAAATTACGTTGGGAGGGCAGGTTAAAAGATATCTCGGTCTAGGAAATATCCCATGGAACAGAGCAGGCAAATTCTTCATGCATTTTACAAAAGCTACGAGGTTGTGAGAAATCTGAAGTTTCGATATCAAAGTTGAGACAGAGAATCACTTCAGACGTGGGGTCCATCAATGCAAAATACTTGATGTGTTTCAGATTGCTCCACAGAACACCGCTTTCGGGGTCGAGACGCGAGTGAACAAGATGTCTGTGCTCGGTGATATAGATCAAGCGCAGTATATTATAGGGAATTTATGCAATCTTTGGCTATTGTACGATATATACCATGGTTCATAGCTTTTTTTCAGGGTCCTTCGACAGTGGCCCCTGACTGAGCCGAATTTGCCAAGTCATAATATGGGAATGTCCAGAACTCCTTGTCGTGGATTTTTTGAAGATTCTCTTGTATCTTTTTGTTATCACCGCCGGTCGTGTTAGATATCGATATCAATCTTTAAGTATCTTTTCTTGTTTGTAGATCTATACGCTGGAACTTACAGCACATATTACCACGACACTTACACTCATGCCTTTTTAATAATTAATACATCGACGCTTTTTAACGAACACTTACTTCATCGTAGCTGCGGACTGGGATTTCTTGTTTTGATGGAGTTGTTGAATGTCACTTATAATGCGAGCTGTACAGACGGAAAGGTATCGGTGCAATCAGCTCCCACATCAAGACCAAGAAAGGAGATTGAGATCAGGCATGATCATGACGAGTCGGCGGAAGTCTCATCACTTAAACGGAAAGCAGGGCATAAAATCATGGAAGTCACTGTAATCACATCGATTCCCTCGACATCCACGCAAACTTCGACCAGCTCATTGATAACAGCGCCACCTTCATTGTTCAACCGAATTGCCCTTGCAGAACCCCAGGCCGGGTTCGACTGCAATTCTCAGATCGATCAGTTCAAATCACAAGCTTCGCAGCAGAATTCTCAACAGCTATCCCAAGCAACACAACAGTTTTCGCAACAGGTTTCGCAAATATCACAGAAAGCTTCACAATCTGTTAGCCAAGCTCTCGCTGCCCAAACCTCTGCTCAGATTGCCCAGTCTTCAGCACAGGCGGCTCATTCCTCGGCCCAAGCTGCTGCCGACGTAGCCAATTCTTCTTTATCTTCAATTAAAATGTCGGCATCATTAGCAGTGGCTGCGGCATCAGCAAGCGCTTCTAGTGCCGCTATGAGTGAGTGAACTTCCACTGGCGATTCATGTCCGGGTGGTCTCTAGCCTACTAAGATTGTGATCTCCAACTACTAGAAGAAAGTTTGCTTGTAAAGAACGCGTGTTGACTGTTCATAGGCGCTTCTGCATTCATTTCTTCGGCTCTTTTATCGGCCAGCTCTTCTGTATCCAGGGCAATTTCTTCAGCGGATGCTTCTGCTAGTGATGCCAGGGGTATGTTGCTGAATTTCCACCCTAAATCTCCTACTAGAACATGACTAATGTCTTAACCTAGCTACTGCCACATTTGCGATTGCACAAGCCCAAGCTACAATCTCATTAACTAATGTATGTATTATATATCACAACAACGCATGAACTACACATAATTAACGATAAAATTAGTCACAAGCTTCGGCATCAGTACGATCATCACAAGTCCAAGCCATCACAGCAACACAAGCTGCAATCGCAATTGTGGGCTCCATAATCGGCTCCTCACTTTTATCCATCCTCTTGTATTTCCTCCTATCCAGATATAGAAAACGTAAACAGAACGAAATAGAAAACAACGATTTTCCTTTTAAGAATTACAAAGAACCATCGAGTCTTCCAATCTCAGAACGGAAGCCTATAAGAATATCATACATAATACCGACTCCTCCTCCTGATGCCCAATTCCCGGAAGGAGGTCCTTTCAGTCGGGATAAATTCTGGTCAATGCAAATATCGAAACCGTTGAAGAATGCGGATGAGAGGTCAATGGATGTTCCGTTGGCTTTTGCAGGTGAGCCAGAACAATCAGTTTCGGAATCGACTCCGAGACCCAGTCTCGGGGGTGCGAAGAGGGCATTGGTTTATGATGCGGATTTTCCGGATCAACCACCGAAGTTTGACGATGGAGAAGAACTGGGTGATTTCGGGGATGGGGAGAAGAAAGGAAGGTTGATAGGGCTGGGTGGAGGGGGCAAGAAGGCTTCGATTGGGAAGGCTATTTGAGGGATATCGATGGAAGGGAACCCAGATATGGATGAATCATTGGAGACAGGAAGATAGGATGGAGTGGTGGGCAGGACTTACACTCGTAATGATGCTATAATGATGATGGATAAATGAGGGTACATACTATTTATTAATACTAGATACACGCTGGATGCGTTTCATTGCTTTCGGATTATTCTAGAGAAGTCTAGCTTTGTGTTCATTGCTTAACACGCAAAATTTTGTTGCACATCTGACGTGAACTACATACCTAAGTGTTTCCCTCTCTTATTCGCTTAAGTGCATTTTCTTTTGTTGCATATCTACAAAGGAAGAAATTAGTACACTGCGGAATAAATACTCTTCCAACAGCTTTGTCTTGTTGCACGTCTAGAAAGTTAGTACATACATGAACTACTTCACCACTTCTGTTGCAGATCTCAATTTTAAAGATAGAAAGTTAGTACACACTACACTGGCATGTACGTAACTAGAGTTGGTACACTATCAAGATTTCTCTGTTTATTTAATCATCTGGACTATATGTACAGCTCAGATTTGGGGGGTGGGTTGATGGTAGAGATCAACACAAGACAAAAGATATCTCACAACTGAAATTAAAGCGGCAAAGAAAGGCGAAATAAAGTGTTCAAGTAGGATTGTGTGTAATCGTTTGGGCTATGAAAAAAATGAGCGATGACCTACTTAGATATTGGTAGCGTGCTAGAGTTGCTGTTATGTTATGCAAGTTTGGAACTTCGCCATACGAGACCTCTTGAAACGGATGAAAATCTAATAGATAAGTCTAGAAGAAAACTAAATTGATCTGCTTGAACATCACATTAAAAGTTACAAATACAACTCCCCATTCTCGTCTTTCGTCCCATCACTTGTCATCCCAAATTTCATCTTCACCTCTAATAGCCTCAGTCGAGAGCGTTCATTTTCCATACGCTACATCGATATCTTTCTCGTATCTCTCGAAAATTGCTTTTCGATTGAGTTTCATGGTAGCTGTTACTAATTTCTGTTTTTGTTGTTCATAGTTAGCCTTGTCTACTATACACTCTCCCCCCTTCTCTCCAAATAGCCACACTACCCTATCGTACTTTGATTATAATATTTTAAATTGACATCTCTGCCACATACGACCATAGACTGAAGAGAATTGGGCATCCCGTCCGCTCTGCCATACACAAGCTTCAGATCGGTGGATTAGTAGTTGGGTGGGTGACCACCAGCGAATCCCCACTGTTGTATGTTTTTTTTTTGTTTTTTTGTCTTTTTGCCCTCGCCCTAGATCTCAGAGAAATGAAATCAAACTCACATTAACTGTCGTCCACTCTTCATCAGCCAAAACAACACCCTTGATGACCTCCATACCAGCTAATCCTGCTCTCTTTCCTACAGTTTGCATTTGTTTCAATACTTCTCGATTAATGGTTTCATTGTGCACCAAATCGCTAACGCCATGACCTTCTACACCAATTGACTCGGCGAGCTTTTTGAGAGCTGGCTCGGCGGGAACGACAATTGCGATAGGGTGAGTTTCGGAGATCGAGGCGTAGATGCATATGTTCGCTACTACAGTCGCGGATCGATAGACTGATTCTAGCTGTTGTAGAATTAGTATACCAGATACATATGGGTAAAGATCATGCACTATACATACCTTCTCCAAAGCAATGTACTCTCCATTCATCGTCTTGACTAAGTTCTTTTTGCGGTCAATGATCTTCAAGTGTCCGTTCTTATCCCACTCCCCAATATCCCCAGTTTTGAACCATCCATCTGAGGTAAGCGCTTCGGCTGTCTCGACAACATTATCATAATATTCAGACATGACGCTAGGCCCTCGAATCCAGATTTCTCCTTGTGGGGGAGTGTTAGTAGCGAAGTACCCCGCGTCGGGAAAGTCGACGAGTTTTATTTCGATACAGGCGGGGATATCACCGGCTTGGAGGGTGAAAGATAGGGGATCGCATATTGCGCCCATACTGATGAGTTGTCAGTACACTCGATATTGATATATAATTAGATGGGAGTCACTAACGCGGCAGTCTCTGTGGACCCATACCCAGATATCATGGGTGTGATAGTGTGAGAGATGAATTCTTGGGTTTGTTGAGATATGGGACCAGCACCATTCATACAGAATCTCAACCGTCCACCAGTTGCTTGCTTGACTTTGTTAAATACGACAGTATCCAGAATACTGGAACCGGGTAGGCCGCTTGAGGATAGCAAACGTTTCGAGTAGAAAGCACTCCAGAACAAGCTACGGATAACTGGACCACCTTTGTTCACATTGGCAATTACACCTTTTTTGACAGTCTCCCAAACAGAGGGTACACCTACTAGAAGTGTGGGTTTCAATTCGAGGATATCACCTTTGCAGTTTTTCATGGAGGTTTCGGAAAGAGTCCGGGGATGGCCATAACCCATTAGGGCACCCCAGTAGAGGCATGCGTTTTCAAATACGAATTCGAAGATATGAGCGAGGGGAAGGTATGCTAGCAGTGTATCTGAGGGACCTAGATAGTCGCCGACAATACTATTTGCCCCAGCAACTATGAATATGTTAATTTAGAGGATGACAGAAAATTGGAATACTAACTGGCAGCCACAACGTTCTTGTGCTTCAACGAGACCCCTTTTGGTGTACCACTCGATCCTGATGTGTACATAATGCAGCATAGATCTTCTGTCTTAGGCGGCACAGCTTCGACGGGATGTAAATGTCCCAAATCTATGAGTTCATCATAGCTTAAAAGCGTCAGGTGACTGTGGCTCTTCTTCAATTCTTTGATACTTGACAATGAGAGTTCCGTATCACCGTCTGTGTTATATATCACGTATTCGATATGCTTCAAATCTTCAAGAGAATCAAGTAGAGTCTTCAAAAGTTGTGGTTCTAAGAATATGGCCTTAGCTTTCGTTTGTATGAGAGAATGACGGAGCCCTTCGACACCAAGAGTATCGTATGCAGTGACGATAGGCATGGATTGGGACATGGAACCATGAGCGATTGACAGCCAGTGGGCACTAGATTTCATATAAGCTTGGATGTTTGATAGTCTACAATATGAACGATTACCTCGTTGTGGCAAAGAGATGAACTCGATCATCCTTAACCAATCCAAGTTTCCTCAAACCCGCACCCACACTCAGTACCGTAGCTTCATACTCCTCGAAACTTAGATATTCATACCCACTCATCTCAAAATAAGTCCATACTTTATCTACCTCCTGTGTTTGTCCATTGATGATCTTCTTCATTTTTTTCGTTTCTTCATGTTTCTTGATAAGTTTCCTAGAGCCTAGCGCTCGTGCATTGCCAAAACGACGAGAGCTCTGTTGTATAATATCGAATACAGTATCGATACCCAATTCTGGCTGGGAAAGAAGGTCTGGATATCGGACATTACGGCGAGGGATAGTTTCGCCCGAAACCTGTGAAATCCCTTGTACTTCTGCTGTGAAGGGAGGTTTTCTCGACATTCGGGGGGAGAAAACCGTAGCTTTAGTCTTAGTCTCGGCTTGGGAAGACATAGTGAGATTTGGTAGCATACATAAATCAACGTTTGATGAGAGAGTTTTTGAATTAAAAGAAAAAACTTAGGACAGGAAGGCCACACTGATGAAGGGAACAGTTTGATATTCAATAATATTACATTCCAAGACCCCAACACACTCTCAACCAATTTTAAGCCACCCAGATCCCTTCAATCAATGGGAATGTGACTGATATCCTCATAGCTTTGGTGATAAGCCGAGGCTTTTCCTTGCACCTCATGCCTTTGTTCATTGACATAAAATCACGGAGGGAGGTGTTAGGCCGCCTCCGACTTGAAGGCCTTGTCATCTTTCTTGAGACCTAGTAATCACTGATCGTTGGTGGAAGATTATAATATAAGAATGAGGGTATCAATGGTATCATCATTTCAGTCGAGGTTTAGATGAAGTATTATTTGGACAAGTTTTATTGATGTTTAGTAAAGAGAGGAGAGAAACATCCTATTGAGACGGGATGAAGGGGCGCTAGGCCCTATTGATATTAAAATGAATAAGGGACCCCCTCATAACGAAAGACCGTACAGCGAATGCGATATGCAACAAAGTTCAAAATGTTGACCAAGGTCACATTACAATCACGTGTACCCTTGTGATTGGTTGGCCGAAGTTAGTCACTTTTAGTGATGGATGCTCACCGGAGCTACAAAACTCGCACTTTTCTATTTTTACAGTGGACACCGATCCTCATAGCTCCGCATCCAAAGCACCATCTATCCCCGCTTGTGCGAAAACTTTCTCCACTTGAAGTCTTTTGAATGAATGTAAAATTATTGGAATGAGAAGTCGATGTAACAGTAGCAGAATTAGAATATCCGCAAGCCCTACCATCAAATCTATCAGGAAAAAAGGGCAAAAATGTATCGACGTCGGCATGATTCGAACATGCGCCCCGAAAGGAATTGATTTCTAGTCAATCACGTTAACCACTCCGTCACGACGCCTGCTGATTACATAAAAGATGTCCGAAGTAAAAATATATATACTACCGCAAAACTACAAAGTAACAGTGAATCCATTAGATGAGATCTCCATTACCCAATATGCGAAGGGATTTGCAGAGCATCGAGTAATCTATTAAAACAACATTCTCGGCTTTATCTTTAAAAGGAACGACTATTCTCTTTCAATATCAAATGGCCCATTATATTCAAGTATCTGGGCATTACACACGACATGGAGCGAACGATCTTTCTCGCAGATGAACTTTTCTATCTACGGAGCTGTTGGCTGCGCAAGACACGAATATGTCCATACGGATAATTTGCTGTGCAAGATTCGCACACTGATTGAATTAACCAGAATTAGAAAATCCCACCGACAAACAATAGGCCGAAAAGAACACGCGACTAGTTGTCTTAGTATTTTGGTATTGATACCGGCTTTGCCCAACTTACTGGAGTTTCGAACTTGACATCCATCAACTTTTCAACATTTCCAATCGAAGTGAGAGCATTTCCTTTCAAACTCGATATGAATCCCATGTCTATTACTGGCTACTGGTGCGGCTACACAGCTGTGCGGTGAATATCGCCATGTACATACATAATCCCGATGGTTGAGCATTCAAACCCACGCCAACCCCGCACCAACGTTTATGCTCTCTTGCCGTTCTCGATTGCATGATGCATCAAGATGGCGAGACCGGCCGGTAAGCACTGAGAAGACGGCTGAACATGCAATGCGATATCCGGTCTCCTCGGGATATCGCATGAGAGCGTATCACAGAGCAGGGGCCGAGTGAGTGCCACAACAGCAATAGATTCTATAAATTCAAAATTGACAGTAATATAAACTGTGCAGCTACTTCAGATACATTCTGTTCATTCGATGATAACTATTTAGACACATTTCCTTGGAAGATTGCACCCCCCTTCTTGTTTCCTTTTCCCCTTCCCCCTCCGCATGGATTGGAAGCTTGTTGGCTATCCTTTAATACCCGAGACACCGGGTGATAATCTAGACATCTTCCGGTTGAACCGGTTGGTACATATTTTACCGGTCTGCTTTCTTTTGTTCAAATGAAATCAAATCACTTGTAAAGAAAAGTTATTGAAAACAATTTAAGGTGTGTCTGTGTGTATGCGTATTGACACGACCCCCTTTTACTGATAAAGTTAACAAATAACTCGCTCGGGTTGATCATCATTAATATCTTATCGGATAGATAAAATTTATAGTTCTGAACTCATCCATCTATCTATCCATCCATCCATCCATCCATCCCACCTCCATCGATCTTTTCCGCCCCTCGGCCCCTCTCATATCTCGACCAGGACATTCGCGTTTCGGTATTTGTTGTCTCCCGTAGAATCCTTAGTGTTTTCTCCACCTTCACTTCCGACAAAAATAACATTATCCGATCAAATTGGCGACAACAGACCTTTACTCGACATGTCAAGCCGGAAGAGAATATCGCAAGCTTGTAAACCATGTGGCATTAAGAAAATAAAGGTAAAATCCTACTGTCTACAGTACAGTGTACACGCGAGAATGAATCTGGAATTGACTAGTCAATTCACAGTGTGATGGCGGGGCTCCCGTGTGCGGACCTTGCCTAAAGAGAAACGGAGAATGTTCTTATGGTATATCGAAACGTGGGCATTTTCCACGGAAATTCAATGATGATGGAAGGTGCGTAACTAACTGAATGATTTGTAAACCCTTGATACTTATTGAAATGTATTAGCCCAAGCACTGCCGGTCGTGAAAACTCATCTAACCCATCGCCTATTCAACAACCTTTAGGAGGTAGCCGCCTTCCTATTACGTGCTCTGACACACCACTCATTCTCCAAGGCTCTGTCAGGCCATCTTTAGGTTATACCCATAGCTCATCGTCGCAAAGAAAAGACGCCGGACCAAAGAAATATCCTTTCAATGCCGAGGTAACGAAGCGTTTGTTTCAAACTTACTTCGATTGTATTCATCCAATATGGCCGATTCTGTACAAACCAATGTATACTTCATTCGATTATACGTATCCTTCACCAAGTATCCCTAATGTCTTAGCATGTGCAATGTTCGCTATGGCAGCTTGTGTAGAAAAGCTCCAACCTTCTCCACAGCCATTCGATGACCCGCACGTTATGGGATCGGAAGAGCCTCGCTTTTATTTCGAGGAATCCCTAAACTTGCTACAAAGAAGCAATGATACCAGCGATAAGTCATTGAAAAACGCTTTCACTCCTTCAATCGTAAATTGCCAAACATTGACAATACTTTCACTGCAGCAACATGGAGTAGCTGAATATTCCAGAGCGGCGATTTTCTGTGGACTTGCGTCATCAATGGCTATCGAGTTACGCTTGCATAGACCTCACGAAGCGCATGGTACACAGCGTGAAATTCGTTATCGTCTCTGGTGGAATCTATACATTCTCGAGAAGATGATCTCTTGCGAAATGGGGAGACCAGTGATGTTGAGAGTCGAAGAAGCTGACACTCCATATCCCTCTACATCCGAGGCGGATGAATTTGAACTACTTCCTAGTAGAATGAAGCGTCAGAATACAGCTAACATACATAGTGCTGGCAAGATGCATACACTGTCAGTCCTTGTTACGACTGTTCAACTTTCAGTCATAATGGAAAGACTTTCTCGAGAAGTGTATGGATTGATAAGCCGGAGAGCAATTCGGGATGACCGAAGTTTTGGTGAAGGAAAACGCATGGAATTATGGTCTTCTTTTCAAAAGTGGGAGAGTGATATTGAAGCCTCTCCCTTACGCTTAGATTTGAGCAGTCATTTGACATCAGTCCCTGGTGTCGTTACTAACTATGTTGTAAGTGTGCAATGTATTGATGTTTGGCCTTTTCTCATTGAATCTAGATCATGCACTCAGGGGTGATTCTTTTACATCGCCCTTTCATTGCTCGATGGATATCAAACCCTGCAAATGCCAATGCTTCGGCGCACCCACTCAAGATTTGCCTAAATAGTGCGAATTCGATTTGCACTATCTTAGAGAAGTACTTTGATGATTTCTATGGCCTGCCATGTGACATGGTATTCAGTATTTTTACAGCTGCAAGCACGCTTTTATATCAATCAAAGCAACCGGATGGAGGTGATAATGCAGAATCACAACGTCGTCTTAAGATGTGTATTCACTGGCTTTCTGTTCTTGGGAGAAGTTGGAATAGTGCTGGAGCCCGTCAACAGATTTTGGTAGATTGTAAGTCGTTGATTCTTCAATTCACAAATTTGTGGCTAATTTTTGAAGTATCAGCGATGCCACGAGATGTTAATATGACAACTCTAGTTAATGCAGCCGCAGCTGTCGATGCCCAAGAATCAACATCCTCGCAGCTTCTATCTGAGCAAGAATCAATGTACGCCCGACACTCGACAGCAGAAACTACACCTGGCACAGCGAAACCTGGAGGAGCAGAGGACTGGGAGTTTTTGAGAGGATTTGGAGATTCTTCTGATGAATTTTATATTCTAGACGAAGAACTTCGAGTTTTACTTGAAAGTGATCAGCAGTGGAATCTCTAAGTCCCATAGCTCAATTCACTTAAACGATGTCATTACGCTTATCAACCTCGGTCCTATAATACTATTACCTTTACATTTCAATGATTCCGATAGGTCCATTGTATTCCCTTCTTCCAAAGCAGAAATAGAATATCGCACCAAAAAACAACCATCCGCCCATGACAACCACGCTGTAGTTCATATTCTGTGCGGTGACAGGCTGCACACTGGGAAAAGTGCAGAATACTATCGCCACGAGAAGCCAAACAAGAGCAACAACATTGACTATCAATCCCAATGTGTCACCTAACCTAAATGGCCCATATTGGCTTCTCTTGATATTCTTTCTACCATAGATTATCATGTAGATAATTGGCACAAGATAGGAAGCATACATTCCCAGAACGGACATCGATACGATGGCATTAAAGGCAGTACTATTCCCGAGGTATATCAGACCAAGCAACATTTCTACTATAGTCAAGGCTACAATAGCACGAACGGGTACTTGTGTGGTCGGGCTGATGTGAGCGAAATACTTCGAATATGGAGTTGCGGAATCCCGAGCAAATGCCCAATATGTTCTCGAGGTTGAGGTACAGCCAGCCGCGTTGGCGGCTACGGCAATAAAACAGACGACTAGTACCATGACAGTTGCCCCGGCGGTATTATTCGTGACGTTTTGATATAGCTGCATGAACGGGAAGCCGGTCGGTGATGCAAGCACTAGAATCATAACTGTCAGCAATGTTTCTCGTGCTAGGTCTTCCGAAGATTGAATTTTGTTTTATCGGGGCTATCATAAGTGGAAAATATGAGGAAAATAATTGCTTACATTCGTTCAAGTCGCCAAGGGAATACAACAGCATGATGCAATACCCAAGTCCTAAGATTCCATTCACAGCAACACTCCCGACCATGGCAATTGGGACATCTCGTGCAGGGCGTGGCATCTCTTCTGCCAGATGACAAGCCGCATCATAACTTTGTGGAGTAATTAGTACAATGCAATAAGAGGGCTAAGATACAACTTACCCCAGGAATGGATATACAGCACTCAAGAGACCCACAAGCCATGATACTCCGTCACTTTCCCAGCCACTGGTATTCGTTACTTCGGTAAAAACAAAATGAGCATCGTGCTTGGGTGCCATTGCTCCAAGTACTGCCATGATTGCTACGAGACCGGCTAAATGTAGAACGCCTAAGACTATCAGCTCTGTTGATCTATCTTATTGTGCTTTGGAGAAAGTTACCTGACGCTAAGTTTGTGTGTGGAAGTATCTTCGATCCCCATATATTCACAGCAGCAGAGTACAGAAGAACCAACCAATAGAATAGCATACCCTGCCATCTTGTTGGCACATAGCTATCTGGATTATTGAGTGTTATGAGGCCTTGAAATTGCAGTCCTGCGGAAAATGCCGCTGATGCTGTAAGAACGATTTGCCCGCCGATGGAGATCCAGCCTGTGAACCAGGATGCAATCTTCATCTGACTTTTTGGGGCCAGAGCAGCGACGAAATGATATTGTCCTATGTCGTGTCAGCGTTAGACAATATCCTTGAATGACTTTGTTTGTGGGACATTGCTTACCACCAGCAGTCGGCCAGATGGACGCAATTTCAGCTAGTGATGATGATATCGCCAAACTCCCGATCAACGAAATGCAGCTGCACAATTGTCAGTGAGATTAGTCTCGCTCGTGTGTCTGATATGGCTTACTAGTTATAAAAAAGACATGGAGCTCCGCCATTTGCCAATGCTGCTGCTACTACGCTGGACAATGCTTCCCAAGTTGCCATCAAGCAGAGACATAATGAGCCAAGTGACCAGACCGAGAAGTCTTTGCGTAGTTCCTCTACATGCCCTGCTACTAAAACCTCCCCCTTCTCTTCTTCTGTTCCAATGAATGACGGCCGGGATGCTTTCACCATGTCCTCCTTTTTGTACTCGCTTTCGAAATCCATGTTGAAAGAATACTTCACAATATATGTCCAAAAATCAATATTGTTGAGGTTGTTCGTACGATACCAGAATCAAACACTGTCAAGTAATGAATATAAACATTTCAAATCAAGATAGACGAGAAAATGAGGAGGTGTAGGACACTCCAGGCCTATCTCTATCTCATATCAAGCCTCTAAGCAACAGAAAGCGGATCTTTTCCGTTATCAAGCCCATACAAGGACTGTAATTTTGAACTGCCATGTTGAACTAGTCCGGAAAAGCTTAATAAGATTGAATGCCGACGTTGAGACGAGAATGAAACGTCTGCCATGTAGAATCCTCACAGCATAACAGCGCTAGTGGATCCCATTACTTGGGACAATCGGTCATGGGGTGATAGGTATTAGCGATACCGGGTATTTGAGAGAGATACCCATGCCCGCGTTTCGATGATAACCGAGATAGCCGTGATAGACGGATGGATATTTGTATCTACCAATCATGTGTGGGACGAAATGGAGCGTGCAATCGGAAGAGTTGTATTTATGTAATGTATATCATTTCCAAGCCGGGTAAGTGATGGCGATGTTGGCACATAACCGATAGTCTGAAAAGTTTACCAATGACTTCGTACCACGCTTTGTAACTATATTAGTTTGCTTTCCCTCTCAGCTGCTTTATATTTCACATCTTTCTTCATATTCTTTATTCAGGTTGCATAGTAAGTTTGTACTCCTCATTTTATGTATTGTATCAATTTTCTGTCAACCAGAATTCAATATCATCATCACCATAGCACGAACCACACAAAAAACCCCGCACCATGGCCCCTCCAACCCCAAGACCTCACCCCCTCACCCAACTCTCCCTCCCCGAATCCGACATAGCCCGCGACACCATCTTGGCTGCCCACAAACCAGCCCTCATATCCTTCCGCACCATTGCGCTCGAAGAACCTCTCAAAGCCGAGCTCCAAAAATTTCTAGAAATAGAACATGCCGGCGCTTTAGATGCTTCAACTCCTTACCCCAAGAGACTCGCAAGAGTAACTTATGATGTTGTTGGAAGTAGTAAAATCCCCCAATATCACGAGAGTCTTGTGGATGTGGAGGAGAGAGTCGAGGTGGACAGAGAGGTGGTTAATGAAATGCATCATGCTATGTTGACTTTGTAAGTTACATTCCTCATTTCCATCCATTTGCAACACAGCTAATGTCATTTCAAAGAGGAGAATTCGACGAGCTAGTCAAAGCCGTCTGGGCATCTCCCGTTTTCAAAGAAGAACTCGCACAACTGAGCATCCCAGAAGGATTCGAAGTTGTCGTCGAGCCGTGGCCATATGGAGGAAGTATCGCGGAGGAAAATCCTCGATACTTCCAAGGTCTCTGTTTTGCCCAAGACACGCGTAATAAAAACCCAGATTCAAATTTCTATGGATACCCTCTTCCTTTGATTCCAGTCATGGATTATTCTACAAAGGAGATTGTCAGAATTGATAAACTCGCTACGGGGGGTATTGAAGATGGGTTTGAAGTGGGCACGCATGACAAGGAGATTTTGAAACATTGCAAGCCGGCGGAATATGTACCGGAGTTATTGGAGAATGGAACGAGAAAGGATATGAAACCTATTAATGTGGTGCAACCCGAAGGAGCGAGTTTTACTGTTGGAGAAGATGATAGTTTGGTGGAGTGGCAGAAGTGGAGATTCAGAGTGGGGTTCAATCACAGAGAGGGAGCTACCATTCATGATGTGCATTATGATGGTAGAAGTGTTTTGTATAGGTTGGGTGTTTCTGAGATGGTAAGTTTGATTGGTTTCTAGATTGTGTTGAGATATGATGCTAATGATTCTATAAATAGACCGTTCCATACGCAGATGCTCGATCTCCGTATTTCCGCAAGCAAGCCTTCGATTTCGGAGATGGTGGTGCAGGAAACTGTGCCAACAACCTCGAACTAGGATGCGATTGTCTGGGTGTCATCAAGGTTCGTATTTCCTTCAGTTCCTCATCTCGATCAATTCACAATATCTAACAATCTCAGTACTTCGACGGCACCAAAACCGAAAGTAACGGCACCGTCTCCACAAGCCCCAACGTCATCTGTCTCCACGAACAAGATGCCGGCATCGGCTGGAAACACACAAACTGGCGTACTAACCGTGCAGTCGTCACTCGTCACCGCGAACTAGTCGTTCAATTCATCATCACCCTCGCCAATTACGAATACATCTTTGCATACAAATTTGATCTCGCAGGTGGTATTACTGTCGAGACACGTGCTACGGGTATTGTTTCCGTCGTCTCGATTGATGCCGGTAAGAAGAAGAGTGAATACGGAAATGTTGTGGCTCCTGGTGTTTTGGCACAGAACCATCAACACATCTTCTGTGTGCGTATTGATCCCGCTATCGATGGACCAGCCAATTCAGTCATGATTGAGGAGTCTCATGCCGTGGCTGATAAGAAGAGAAATCCTTATGGCAATTTCTATGAAGTTATTTCCAAACAAGTAGAAAAAGCTTCGTGGCTGGATGCTAAACCAATGAACAACATGGTTGTCAAGATGGTCAACCCAGGGAAGCAAAATCCAATCAGTGGAAAGAATGTAGGATACAAATTCATACCCGCGGCGACGCAAATGTTGCTTGCGCAAGATGAGAGTATACAAGCTCAGCGGGCGAGATTTGCTCAACATCACGTGTGGGTTACGAAATACAAGGATGGCGAATTATATGCTGGTGGTAGATACACGCTTCAGAGTCGCAAGGAAATTGACGGAGTTGGCGATGCAGTCGCGAGAGGAGAGACCCTAGCAAAGGATGGTGAAGATGTGGTTGTTTGGAATTGTTTCGGATTAACACATAACCCAAGAGTGGAGGATTGGCCGGTCATGCCAGTGGAGATCCATGAGTTGAAGATCAAACCAGCAGATTTCTTTGAGGCCAACCCATCGATCGATGTTCCTAGTTCGAGGAACATGTCGTCCAAATTGGTCGGAGAGGGAAGTGCGAAGAAAGAGGATGAGAGTTGCTGTAAAGCGAATGGATTCAAGTCGTGACTAGGAGGA